AGTGAGCTAACCTTATCTCCCAATGGCTACTTTCACAGCTACTTTACCTCTTCCTACAAAATGTGGAGAAGAAAAATACTCTCTTGAATACTAATCAGCCCAAGTCATATGCTGGAAGTAGACCTAGCCAGAACCCTCCAAATTAACCACAGAATCCAAACCACTATTTTGGAACCTAACATAGGCAAAATAACAATCTCAATATTTGAAAATTTTCTCCAATATTTCTAATGTCGCTTCAACTTTTAGAAGGTAACAATGTAATTAAAATTGGCATATGGAAACATGAAATGATTTCTAAATACTTACCTGAGCACACAAAGAATTTTTTCCAAGTGTTTAACATCTGAACATTTTTCAATATACTTGAAATCCAAATGTTCAATGGGAATCTTAAATGTTTTTGTTGTCCCAAAGCCCCACAATGATGGATAATCTTTGGCAGTCATGGCTGAAATATAGTATAAGAAAACAGTTATGAATCTAATATATATTGTAATACTCAATTTAGATAGCAGTAACTACCTAGGTAATTCTTTAATATTTATTTTTCACTTCTACAGAAAAGGAGGTGGAGTGTTTTTTCCAAGGAGGAAGGCTACTAATTCTAAACTCTTAACAGTTTACATTCATGGAGCCAAATTACTGTGTACCATACATAGATTGTTTCAATCTCCACCTAAGCAAAATCGGAACATGACAAAGCACGTTTTGGAGCTACAGAGAAGGAAAAAATTTTATCCATTCACTGAGGCCTACAAATTAAACTGGCAAAAGACATATTAATAGGAGAAAAGGTTTATTTTATTCACACATGGAGGCTCCATAGAAAAGAAAAAACCCAAAGGAACTGTTAGGCCTGGGAGCCTATATACCACTTTAACAAAGGGTGATAAATTGCGGGGAAGTGATTAGACAAAGGAAACTGGGTTTTGGTTTCTATGAAAAGGTAAATATGGAAGAAAATAATGGAAGATAAGGGTTATGTTAGTAAGATTTGTTTATGCAGACTCATTGAAGGATAAGGGTTGTTTTCCTGGTAGTAGGAGAGAGGAGAGGACACCTTCACAAAGGGAAATTTATGTCCTGATTTTAAGCAGAAAGTGGAGAGGGCAGAGAATTATTATTTGTTAATCTTCCACTGGTGCTAAGATGGCCTGTTTGAAATGGCATATTCTGATCCCTTTCTGTGCTCAAACTGCTTTTTAAGATATCTTTTAATGTGGATTTAAATGACTTGAATGACCTTCTCCTCCCTTAGCTGTTTTGTTAACATCCCAACTATCCTTGATTTAGCACAAACATCCTCTCTGTAATTCTTAACATCACTCTTTTCCCCATTCCCTGCCTCCTTACATTCCCTGCTGCCCATGCACATCATTAAACAGCTCCCAGATCTGTGTGTCCTAATGAGGCAGGTGATAGAGGAAGGCAAGCAGATAGTGTTCAGGGCCTCTGTAAGTTTCAGGGCCCTTGTAAGTTTCAAGACACTTCAAGACCTTGGTAAGTTCCAAGAAGCTTCAGGGCCCTTGCAAGTTTTAAAAAGCTCCAATCAAACTCAGCCATTCAAAAGTACACTTAGATAGACCTCAGCTCTGACTGGTTATGCCCTATGCAAATGAAGCAATGTACTCTCAGCCAATCAAGTTCTCTATTTGGTCCAGGGAGGGTGGACAAATCTCCAAAAAAATTTTTTCCAATATATTCACTGAAAAAAATCCAGGTGTAAATGGACCCATGCAGTTCAAACCCATGTTGTTCTAGGGTCAGTTGTTTGTCTCTCTCACCACACTGTAAGTTTGTTGAGGGCAGCACAGTCTATGTCTTAATCTCATCTTTGTATTTCAAATAGCACAACGTCTGGCATATAACAGATACACAATTATGTTTATAAAACTGAATTGTCATGGGTCCCAGGAGAAATTGAGGAAGAGATCTGTTATTTGTGAAATTTTATTATTTATTATTCAGCAACTATATAGTGAGGGTCTGATATCTAATTGCTAATTATGTCTATTATCTGTCTAGGACACTCTTAAATTAGGCACTGGGATACAGCAATAAACTATTTAATCTGTGCTACCTGTATAGGAGGCAGGGAGGATGAAAGGGGAGAAACAGAAACAGGAGGAGAAAAAGAAAAACAGAAAGGAAAGAAAGGTAAAAAGGGAGAGAAGGAATTATATAAGAGGAAAGGGAGTAAGAGAGAATGGGGAGAGAGGGAGAAGGGGCAGGGAAGTGTATAAGAAAGGGAGATGAGGAGGAGACTGGCTCAAGTGGCTGAGAAAGAACAACGCAATCAGGAGAAAAGCAGGCGGTGCACTAAAACAAAACTATCCCTCCTCCCTGAAAATTAAGTCAAAAAACTCTGAACACAAATTGCTGTTTTAACATGTAGATCACCAGATTTTCAAATTCAAGTCAATATAATGGTAAAATTAGAAAGCTGAAAGTTTAAAAACTTACCACTTTGAGTTAGAGAATACATATCCCTCAAATTGTTCTCAAACACTATTATTCACCCCAGTAAAATGTGCTGAATAAAATAACATAAAACAAAACAAATAAAAAACCACAGTTTCTCTAGAGTCTCTTTTTAAAAAAATATTTCTTAAGCAAAATGAAACCATAAAAGAACTCTGAGACACATAGGCAACTATATATCTGGTAGAGAGAAAACTTTCTCAAATATAATAGCAAGAAAAGATCATAAAGCATAAAATCAAGAGGTATGATTAAATAAAAAATTTTAATGAATTAACATGAAAAACACCATACACAAAATTAAAAAGGCAAATAGCAGATTGAAGAACAGAACTATTACAAATAAATAGGAAACCCATGAGAAAAATCAATAAAGGGGTATCTCTCCTCCTTGCCCTGATGTAGCAGCGGGGACAAATTTAACCTCCTGTTTAAATTCTAGAAAACTGGATAAAATACAAGAAATAATGGTTTTCAGACACTGGAAAATAGATAGCATGCAACAGTGATCTTCAAAAGAAGGAAAACAAATGAGGTAAGGCCTGCATTTGCCTCAACTTTTTGCCTGGAATTTCCAGGCTGTAACATACGGAAAGGAAACCCAACATCCCTGTGGTCTCACAGCACATGCAGAAAGACAAGAGTTCTTCAAGGAGGCCAAGAATATAAGATGTGGTGTGCAAAATATCCAAAAGGAGATAGCCAGACAGAGAGAGAACTCTGAAGATAATCTGAGTAGCCCTATATCTATTAAAATAATTTGAATTTATAGTTAGATCCTTCCCTATAAAGAAAATGGAGGTCCAGACAGCATCAATGGTGAATTCTAGAAAATACTTAAGGAAGAAATAATGCCAATTAAACACAAACTTTCTGGAAAATAGAAAATAGAACACTTCCCAACTCATTCTGTGAGGCCAGCATCACACTGCTACCAAAACCAGACAATGACGTTACAAGAAAACTACAGACTAGTATCTCTTGCGATCATAAACACAAAAATCCTTCATAAGATTTTAGCAAATTATATCCAACAATATATAAAAAACATACATCATGAGCAAGTAGAGTTTATCCTAGAATGCAAGGTCGGTATAACATTTGAAAATAGTGTAGCTTAATAGACTACAAAGAAAATCTTATGATCTTCTCAATAAATGCAGGAAAGCATTTCATAAAATTCAACACCCATTCATGATAAAAATTCTCATCAAACAAGGAATAAAAGGGACCTTCCTCAACCTGATAAAGGGTCATCTACACAAAATCTTAAGCTAACATTATACTTACAGGTAAAAGACTGAATGATTTTCCCTAATATTGGGAAAAAGACAAGGATATCTGCTCTTACCACTTCTGCCAACACTGTGTTAGAGGTCCTAGCCAGTACAATAAGGCAAGTAAAAGAAATAAAAGGCAGACGCAGGAAAAGAAGTAAATCTCTCTTATTCACAGATGACTTGATCCTGAATATAGAAAATATAATGAATCTACAAAAAAGCTACTAGAAACAATTTATAAATTTAATAAGACCACAGGATACAAAGTCAAATTAAAATTACACTGACATGAGTTATCTAGTTTAGTCAAACTTACAGAAACAAAAAGCAAAATGTGGTTGGAGGGTCCAAGAGGAGGGGGAAATGGAGAATTGTTGTTTAATAGGTATAGAGCTTCAGTTTTGCAAGATGAAAAAGTTCTGGATATTAGTTGCACGACAGTGTGAATATTCTTATGACCTGTACTCGTCAATATAGTGTGAATGTACCAATGAACTATACACTTAAAAATGGTTAAATGGTAAATTTCATGTAATTTGAATGTTACCACACCAAAAGGAAAACACCAATTAAATTTCATAACTAAGGTGATTCAGAATGACAAAAAAAATCAATATTAAAAAGCGTCAACTTTTACAATAGCATAAAATATACGACTTAGGAATAAATTTAACAAAAATATATAAGAACTATACACTGAAAATTACAACACATTGTTACAAAAAATTAAAGACTTAAATGAACAGAGAAATATATGATGGTCACAGATCAGAATATTTCAATATTGTCAAGATATCAGTTCTTCCAAAATTGATCCATAAATTCAACACAATTCTAATCCAAACACAATATCCAGTAGTGAGTACCTGAAACAGACATTATACACTGCTGGTGGGAGAGAAAAAAGGTAAAACTTTTTTGAGAACATAAAAATGTGTTTCAAAACTCTTAAAAATATTCAATCCTTTGATCAAGCAATTTGAATTCTAATAATTATCCCAAGGAAGTGGTATAAGAAAATTGTATTTTCCTAAGATAGAATATTATTCATTTAAAATACCTATATGTATGTGCATGCAGAAACAAATTCACAATACTCTCCTGAGTGTAAAAAGTAATCAATGCTAAGTAATTTCCACTCAAAGCCCTTTATTGACAAAAAAAGACTGGATTTTGAATAAGTGAAGTAGACAGATATAGAATGTGACAATCACAAAAACTGGTGTTACTCTATACCTTTATATCACCATCAATTCTTTCCCATTCTTCTGCTGTAAAACTAGATGCTGTCGCTGCAGGTTTATCTTTCCTCAAAGCTCTACTTTCAGGAGCCAAGCCTTTAAGGCGTTTTTCACAAAATTCCGTAAGTTCAGGATAATATCCTTCCTCACCAGACCTTTAAAAATATTCGGAATTTTAGGGTTACTATTTCATTTAGAAATCATCTAGACCAGTGGTTTGTATGCTGGGTTCTGCAGAGAACTCAAGAACTGCCCTTGCACAAGGATGAAGGCCAGGGTGCTGGCTTCTCACTGACCTTCCTCAACCATGCAGCCTCCATTTTTATCTGTTAATCTGTGGAGCGATGCAGTGAAGGAGAAAAGGGAGCTCCAAGGACACCAATGTCCACCACACACTTTAAAAGTTGAATAAGTAACATTTTCTCTCCCCTTAAACTTCTTTGTACACAAGATTATCTTAAGCTTATAAATAGAAATTCAGTACTAGAAACATGTGGAAAATGAGACCTTGTTTTCCAACGATGATTTTGCAGCTCCATTTTTTTTTTCAAAGGGCTAGGAAGAAAATGGCAGAGGAACAGTTTAGAACAACATGCCTCTAATTTCAACCACTCAAGGAACAGAATTCCTTCCTTAGAGAGTATTAGATGTAGATATCTGTTCTTTTTTCATTTGTTTAGGGAAAATCTATCTTCTCCTCTCCTGAGTCTGTTTACTTTTAAGTTTTCAGAAAACTAGAAATAAATTTCATATCCAAATAAAAATTTTAAGTGCCAATGCAATATTATTTAATTAGTTTATTCACAGAATTTCTTAGAACCAACTGATTGCTGTGGCTTTCAAACTCTTCCATCCTATAAATTTCTCATTTTCTTTTTCATTCCTTGACCAAATATAAATAAAAATGTTCTTATACTGCTAAGAAAAACAAAAAAATACGGTATGTTTCATTGTTCCATTCAAAAATGATAAGGTCATCACATTAACTCTGGCTGGGGACAGGCAGGGATGATTAGAGAGGATGGGACCCTAAAGGTGATGAGAGAGACAAAGTAAAGGACACAGTGATAAAGATGGGGGTCTGAGGGAAGAAAACAGATGAACTGCTGCTGAGCAAAAGGAACACTACTGCTGTCCTGGAAAGGAGCAGTTCATACTTCACAAATGCTTCTGCAATATTAGGCTACTTTCCAAATGAAAATGCCTCAAGAAATCCAAAATAAGTGGCATAGATTGGTATGCCATGGGCAGTGTTTCTTAAAGTGGGTTCCCTTGACTACCTGCATGTCAGTCAGCAAGGTGCTTGTTAAAAAACGCATGCTCCTGAAGTGGGGTCTTTGGGAATGGGACCCTCAAATTTGCATTTGTAACAACTATTTGACGGATATTGAAGTTTGACAATCACCACCTTGGGGTTCTTACCCAGAGAAGGCCCTGATTCCCTGCCTTTTAGTCCTACCTCTTAGCCTCCCCACCATCCTCTCCATGTGACCATTTTGCAGTGTCACCCATTTTTGTGGGCAAATGGTATGAAGTGGGAAGTTGCCAAAGAATTTTATCAGTGTAGGCTAGTGAGCTAACCTTATCTCCCAATGGCTACTTTCACAGCTACTTTACCTCTTCCTACAAAATGTGGAGAAGAAAAATACTCTCTTGAATACTAATCAGCCCAAGTCATATGCTGGAAGTAGACCTAGCCAGAACCCTCCAAATTAACCACAGAATCCAAACCACTATTTTGGAACCTAACATAGGCAAAATAACAATCTCAATATTTGAAAATTTTCTCCAATATTTCTAATGTCGCTTCAACTTTTAGAAGGTAACAATGTAATTAAAATTGGCATATGGAAACATGAAATGATTTCTAAATACTTACCTGAGCACACAAAGAATTTTTTCCAAGTGTTTAACATCTGAACATTTTTCAATATACTTGAAATCCAAATGTTCAATGGGAATCTTAAATGTTTTTGTTGTCCCAAAGCCCCACAATGATGGATAATCTTTGGCAGTCATGGCTGAAATATAGTATAAGAAAACAGTTATGAATCTAATATATATTGTAATACTCAATTTAGATAGCAGTAACTACCTAGGTAATTCTTTAATATTTATTTTTCACTTCTACAGAAAAGGAGGTGGAGTGTTTTTTCCAAGGAGGAAGGCTACTAATTCTAAACTCTTAACAGTTTACATTCATGGAGCCAAATTACTGTGTACCATACATAGATTGTTTCAATCTCCACCTAAGCAAAATCGGAACATGACAAAGCACGTTTTGGAGCTACAGAGAAGGAAAAAATTTTATCCATTCACTGAGGCCTACAAATTAAACTGGCAAAAGACATATTAGTAGGAGAAAAGGTTTATTTTATTCACACATGGAGGCTCCATAGAAAAGAAAAAACCCAAAGGAACTGTTAGGCCTGGGAGCCTATATACCACTTTAACAAAGGGTGATAAATTGCGGGGAAGTGATTAGACAAAGGAAACTGGGTTTTGGTTTCTATGAAAAGGTAAATATGGAAGAAAATAATGGAAGATAAGGGTTATGTTAGTAAGATTTGTTTATGCAGACTCATTGAAGGATAAGGGTTGTTTTCCTGGTAGTAGGAGAGAGGAGAGGACACCTTCACAAAGGGAAATTTATGTCCTGATTTTAAGCAGAAAGTGGAGAGGGCAGAGAATTATTATTTGTTAATCTTCCACTGGTGCTAAGATGGCCTGTTTGAAATGGCATATTCTGATCCCTTTCTGTGCTCAAACTGCTTTTTAAGATATCTTTTAATGTGGATTTAAATGACTTGAATGACCTTCTCCTCCCTTAGCTGTTTTGTTAACATCCCAACTATCCTTGATTTAGCACAAACATCCTCTCTGTAATTCTTAACATCACTCTTTTCCCCATTCCCTGCCTCCTTACATTCCCTGCTGCCCATGCACATCATTAAACAGCTCCCAGATCTGTGTGTCCTAATGAGGCAGGTGATAGAGGAAGGCAAGCAGATAGTGTTCAGGGCCTCTGTAAGTTTCAGGGCCCTTGTAAGTTTCAAGACACTTCAAGACCTTGGTAAGTTCCAAGAAGCTTCAGGGCCCTTGCAAGTTTTAAAAAGCTCCAATCAAACTCAGCCATTCAAAAGTACACTTAGATAGACCTCAGCTCTGACTGGTTATGCCCTATGCAAATGAAGCAATGTACTCTCAGCCAATCAAGTTCTCTATTTGGTCCAGGGAGGGTGGGACTTCCTCCTCTCAGGAGGCAATATAAACCTTAGATACTACAGCCCTGACAGCATCCACCGTTGGAGCCCCTCCTGAGTAGCAGGAGTTTTATTTTTTTTCACTCAGTCTTTGATGGCTTCATTCTTCATCACATCCGAGACATGATCCTGGGAAAAAACAGCATCTCAGCCTGGTAACATGAACAGCACTCTGCAATGTACCTCCCTCATTTCACATATTATTAATTACATTTGTCTTCCCTTCTAGATTAAAAGAGATTTTACTTTAGTCACTTTCATATATTCATAATATAATGATAACATAATAAATAATGCCTTATATTCCTTAAGAAACACTTGTTGAAGAGAAATGGGAACACAAAGGCCATGGACATTTTTGTGTTAATGATACAGCTGCTCATGACAAAAATAACAGCAACACAAAGTTAATAGATAGTTCTAATGTGTGCTGGGTACTGCTCTGAGTACTTTACATATATTAACTCATTTAATTCTTCAAATAGTGAACCAGGTAGGTTTTAAGAGCATTAAAACAATTAACATATATGGAGCTTAATTACTAAGCACCATGGATTATTTCACATTATCTTTAAAACTACTAAGAATATTAATAACTACTCCCATTTTACAGACGAAGTTGATGTTTCAGGTAAGTAAACTGCTCAAGGTCATACAGCCCTTACACAGCAAACTGAGGATTTGAATCTCAGTAGGCAATACAGAACCCATATACGTAACTATCATACCCAGGCTTTTCAAATTGCAGGTGGCAATCCACTGTATCAATTTAGAGAGTTGTAGTCAGCATTGTTTTATGAGATAGAACAACAGAAACTGACTACATGATACATACCAGTAAATAAGTTTTATAAAAACTTTCATTTTATGTCATAAAAAGAAATTACAAATGTGTGTACATAAATGCACATGTTGCAAAGTAAAATACATTTATTGTGAGCCAAAGTTTTTAAAAGACCACTACAATAAAACATACTGGGTTATAAATTTTAAAACGAAGTAGCAATGGGTCTAATTCATTAGAAGCAATGGGTGTATTCAGCATGCCCACCCTCTGGGAGCCTGGTCATAAATCAGACCTCTGCAGAAAAAGAGGACAGCTCTGTCAGCTTCTCCTCCATATTGCTGCTGGCTTTGACTTGAATGTAGACTAGAGATGACTATTCATCAGCTATCAGATGAGATTCAGCTGAGAAATGAGATTGCGGCTTTCACACCATACTGGCAGGGCCCAGTATGAAGAATGTCTCCCAACACGAGAATAGCCCTTACGGATAGAAGTTATAGGAAAGCAAGATGAACTTTTAAATTATTAATGCTGCCCAGAATAGAATGGGTTGCCTTAGGAGAGTTTTCCCAAAGAGCTGGAGGATCTTTGATGGTAGAAATTTAAGCATCTAATGGGATTAAAATAGACTACCTCAAATTGAGGTTATCTTGCAACCCCTGAAATTTGATGACTTTAATCAAATGTAGTGAAAAACATTTGAAATAGTAGAGCCATCTCTTACCTGATCAAACTAATTTCATGCTGAACACTGTTTTAACATTTCTGTGAGAATCCTTTTTAAAACTACCATTTTGGTGGGGAGGGTAGGATACACATTCTGAAGACCACTAAATATTAATTCTCAAGTTATAAAAAATTACATACTTTATTTGCTCTTTAGAACACTTCCACATCTATTCACAGTTTCTTTGATTAGGAAAACCTTTGGTCCTGGTTGGATTCAATTCATTATCCATCATCCTAATCCACATCCATTTTCCATTATTCCTAATGTAAACTACGATGGCCTAGTAACTAGAAAACCTGTTTTCTTCCACCTAGGCATATTCTTTCAGCAACCACGGGGCCGAGCGCCCCCTGCAGCCGGAAACCTAAAGGAAACGGCATCCTCCAGACGTAGCAACGGTTTCTATGTACAGCGCGGCTAGAGAGCGCGGCGGGGTCAGGGACTGGCCGGGAGACGGGAGACCTACAGCCAACCCACAACGGTCAGGCAGCACTTTAGGACCCTCTGAAATTGCTCGCCACCCCCCGGCTTTAGTCACCAGGACTGGCTACTGCCCCAGCGGACTCCGGGAACCCCTTGTTGCTGCCCCGCCTCGACATCCGCCACCGTTAGCGAGAAACAAAAAGTCCCCCGTTTGTTTCCTCCAAGAGAGATGTTCATCCAACACCGCGCTCCCTCACTCGAATCTCGGGGTCGGCCTTTCACCCCGGCTTCCGCAGGGAGGGGCAGCGATGGGGAGAAACGCAGTTTATTCGCAGCCGCCGAGTACTCACCTTGGCTCCAAGACCCCGAGCGGTAAGAAGCACCCGGCCGCGGCTCACCTCCTCCGCGGCGCCCAGTGCAGGAGGGCGTAGAGCCCGCGGGGGCACGAACGAGCTGACTCCCGGGGGCAGGGCTTAGGGCCTCTGCGGTATGATTGGCTAGTCCTCAACCTGCCACCCCGCTGATTGGCCGTACAGCCCCGGCTTCCCTCTGACAGATGACCATTACGGGATAAGTAGGGGTGGAAAAGTGCGTGTCCCCTTTCTTCTCCTTTGCATTTCAATCCATTTTGCATTGACGTAAAATGCTGTTACTGTTCTGGATCGCTGTACTCCCGCTAGGTAAACTGGCAACTATTTCTACTTATAGAAACAATGAAACATTCATGATATCTACATCGCAACCTAGATTTACTTCTTCCCCTATAAACGAGAGCAAATGAAAGATTCCATCTTCCTTTTTATGCATTCAACATTTTCTGAGCGCTGATAATGAGTCAGGCACTGTACCGGGCGCTGGGATACAAGGCGAGTAAGACATAATACAATTCAGATGAATAAAACAGTACAGACCATTTGTTCATTTGTGGGGAAATGCATTTCAGCTTTATAATTTCAGACTAATTAGAATAGAAAACAAAGCCCCTAACACAGTACCTGACACATAACAGGAGTTCAATAAGTGTATTTCTCTTTCCTCTTTGCACTTAAATTAGACCTACAATCTATTAGCAGGCACCTATAGTGGCAAATATTCTAATGCTCAAATTACGACTAATTATATTATTTCCTTTGCCAGTGCTAGAGAATGTTGAACTTGCATATTTACAGTCACAGATACAAACTTTAGAGTAATCTTTAGGCTGCTTTACTAAACTCTTTTTACGGGGCAAACGTCATACAATTAGGTCTTAAGTCTAAAACCCTCAGCCTACCGTAATTTAACATCATTTTACTTCCAGCATAGAAAGAAATCCTTCACTATTTAGGGAAGTGGTTGTAATTCCACATGTTTTTTCCCATTCACACTTTTCTTTCTGGTTATCATTATGAACATTAATATTTATGCTGAATAAACAAGTAGGATAAAAAGCAACTTCTGATAATTCAATGTCAAGTGTAGCCGACACCATTATTATTAGCCTGAACTATTACAGGTAGCCCTAACTGGCTTCCCCTTGTCACCTATCCCTGTATTGTCCATTCTCACAGAAGAGCCTGAGTAATCTTTCAAGTTTTAAACCTGTCACTCTCCTGCTTACTCCCATCGCAAGGCCCCAAGTGAGCTGGCCTCTGCCTATCTTAAAGTTTGAGTCACAGGGATTATTCTGAAGTGCAAATAAGGCAAGCCTATTTTCTACCCAGAGCCTTTACACTGTTTTCCTCTACTTCAGGAATGCTCCATTCCCCTGTCCTACTGTGGCAGGTTCCCTCTTAACCTTCAGCTCAAGTAGTCACTCCCTCTTGACTAATTTTCTACACACAACTTATTCTAGGAGGGGTGGGGATATGCATGTATTTGTGTATGTGAAAAGGCACCTTGTTTTTACATCTTCCCAGTTTACAGTTTCTCACCTTTCATGATGTTTTATTCTTAAGATTGGTTATTTGATTTCATCTATTTTTGAAACTTTCTTAACCTCTATCTCTGAAGATAGTTTGAGTGTCTCAAAGCACTGTACTGACGATCATTCATTCTTCCACTTTGAAAATGAAGCTGAACTTTAAACAAATGAAGTGAACCGGCTATTTATTGAATAGCAGGGCTAGATCTGAACAAATTTCTATGCTTTGCTCATGGACTTGCAAGTCCATAGTCATTGGTAAGAAGTTTACTAAGAAATAACGTATATGTTAACTTTAAGCTCAGATTTAATGATTTTTGTATTTAGCAAACACTATTCAAAAGAGTCTTTTTAAAGCAATTTTATATCTATTCTACTATTTTTACTTAAAACTGTTCAGGTAGGCAAGAGGTAAAACTACTTCCATTTTACAGATGACGGGGAAACAGCTAAGTGAATGACTGAAATTGTAGTCTTGAGTTCCAGTGATAATTCTTTTTCCATTAAACCACTGTCTAGTTAACCAAATAACAATATCAATAAACTACTGATATGCAGAGGACCTATGATGAAATTAGACAGGTGTGAGCAACATTATCCAATGTGCTGGGGCTTGTTTAGAGGGCTATCATAAAAGACATATTTATTGGTACTATTTTGTCTAAGAAGGACAAGATCAAGAAGAATGTAGCAGAATTTAAAAATGAAAGCCACAGCTAAAGGAAAACCGGGACCAAGAGAACACTTTTTAAGAATTTGAGCATGGTAGTACTTTATACAGCATGTAATAAATTTATAGAACTTAGTATTCAAGGATGGTAGTAGAAATACAGGTTTTTAAAAAAAATAGCATACTGTTTTTGAATGTCAGAGACACAACAGCTACTAATAAAGCTGGAATATATGTAACCTTCAAAACAAATTAGGGAGGCCAACATGTCATTCCATAATGATGGAAACCTGGAACAGATGGAGTATCTGAGTATCCATAACCCTAAGATCAAGGCAAAAGTTTTAAACATTTATCCAATAATTCAGTGTGTATCCTGAAAACAGAATTTTATATGTTAATGAACAATTATACCTGAGAAACTGGCCCAGCCTTAATAGTCTGCCTTACTCACTTTACTTGGGCTTGATTTTGCCTTATAGAAAACAACCATTACAGTTTTTCTTCCTTGCCCAAGATTTTAAAAATAATCCAGCATTATATAAAATACAAAAACGACTATGCCAACTAACGAATGAAAAGCACAACTCAAAAAATGTATGTACACTGACAGTGCACTGGTATAATCTATACAAAATGATGTTGAAGTTAACAGTTGGTGACAAAAAACAATGATTTCCAAGGAACTTAACTTAATCAGACCTGAAGAGGGCCCTAAAAACTCAATTTTAACAAGGGTCCCAGATGATTCTAGTTTTTGCTTAAAAGGGTGGTTAAGGGAAGCACTTTTAACCTTCACTGTGTCAGATTACATACACAATAAAATTAAATTATAAATCATGTAGTTGAAGAAAAAATAATTTCTTTATATAAACTATTGATGCCTAAATACAATATGAAATCATGTGCATACAGCTGCATTCATTAAGTACACCAATCAAAAGCTACACATTAACAGTAAACGCAAATGCAAACGAAGATATTCTTCTGAATTCCATATTTCATCGAGCATCAAAAACCACCACTGTATTAAATGACATTAAGGACAAAAAAGTATTTTAAAATTATATAAAATATTTAACACTTCCAAATCACTTTCTCTTTGTAATAAGCTAGTTTATTTAATCTAAAACCCACAGAAAGAATGGAATTCACTAGTTACTATGACAGTTGGGTATGAAATAAGAAAAAACTATTTGCATTTTTATTAGTTCCCTTTCCATTATACAAAGACCAACACACCAAAAAACACTATAGCAATGTTAAAGGTGGTAAGTTATTAATTTAAAAAATATTGTTAGTAAACCTTAGTCTTTTTGGCTAATGTGAATACTCACTTTTTCTATTTGGTAGCATACATACACACTATTTGTATTTTTCCTTGCATAGTTTATCCATAAACGCAAGCTCAAGAATGAGTACTTAATTACATAATCCCTGAAAATAGACTTATGAGAACCAAAATAAACTAGTATTAAGATTATTTAGTATACACCTATACACTGACATATTAGTCCATGAAAATGCTAATCATACCTTTTTTTTTTTAAGTAATCCAAAAGTTATAACCATTTTTATCAGAAACTAGTCTTTCACTATCAACCCAGGCATTATTCTTCATTTCCTCCTACTTCATATTTAGAAAGCATAGTTAAAAGGATACATCTTTTAGTCCTTTTCTTGTACATTATTCTATATCCACATTCTCTGCATCTGATTGGATCCCTGGATTTTATTTCATTTTCTGTGTGACATTCTAGAAAAGAAAACATGGTTATTCAATGTCTAAAAGGAAAATATTACATACAAGCAAATTATCTTAGCCATATTTTTTTGCCCAAAGCACTACAATATACTCAATCTCGAGGGTATTTTTTTATTAATAATATATTAAAAGGGAAAGAAAAGAGTTGTGGGCAACGCATTTTTTCTACGATGTAAAAATGAAAATAAGAGGATTTTTTAATAGTTGCCAATGTGTTCTGCTTTATAACATCAACGGTGACTGACTCATTTAAGACAAAGGTAAATGTGATAATCTAAAAAAAATAAGTAAAATACTCTTATGTAAGTGCTACTCTTACCTCCACATATATATATCATTGGCTGCTGCTTTGGGGGCTGAACGTCCTTCTGGGTGTCCATTATTAGGCTCTGAAATCACAGACTCCAATACTGAATATCTCAAAACGGGCTCCTAACAAATTCAACCAGCCCTCATTTTTCTCAGGCAAAGCTAAAAGGGTCCCAACTGCCATCTGTACTTTTTCAAACCCTACTGGTAGGCTTAAAAGAGTGGGTGGGGGGAGAATTACAACATGTTGCGCACTTACACCGAAACTGGACACAGTAAAATATTTTACGCATGTTATTTCATTACAATCTTTACAACAATCCTAGAAAGTATTACTCTTATTTTAGACATGAAGAAGCCGAGGCTTCAGAGAATTTGCGCAGGATTCTTCAACTGTTAAAGAGGCAGAGGGATTCAGATCTGACTGTAAAATTCGTGTTCCCATTTAACCATAGTTCTGTTTCTCCAGACTTTGGCAGAGAGTGGCCAAAAAGTTCTCTCTCAACAGGGGGACATGAGAACCGAAATAAGGGAAAAATACTTAAGTAACTCCCAATAGCTTAACAGCCAAACAAGGAAATGAGACAAAAAACAACAGCATTAAATCTTTTCCCAGCTTCTCCCAACTCTAACTCCACACCGGACCTTTTAAACCCCGAGTGTCTATTCAGTTTTGTTCCAGCTACCCACCCCAAGAGCCAACCCGCCAAATTCCCTACTCACACACCAGAACAAAACTACTCGCGCTTCCAGATTATGGCTGTCGCCGCGTCTCAACCAACTTCCGGCTCTAGCATATGACGCACGGTGGAGTCTCCGCCCCTTCCATCCCCGGTGTGCCCCAGGTACCCGGATTGCGCACGAGCAGTACAGCCGGGGCTTTTGTGTATTAGAACTGGAGAAAAGTCCTTGTTTCGTCCTCAATTATTTCCCTTTTTTCAGGAAAGCAAAGCATTCAAACAGTTCCTCAAGTTCAGGGAGGCTTGTTTATCTGACTAATGAAGGTAGTAGAAAACACTTCTCCAGGACGGCAGAGGGTTAGAAGGGAAACAAATGGCAAGTGCCCGAGGAATCCTAGGCTAACATCGAGGATCATGCAAGAAGTGATTCGACCACTGATTTAAACGTTGAAAGGCTGTCTTCAGATTAGGTTTTTCAAGTCGTTTGATATCTGTGCTGGGGAAGTGAGCACCCGGCCCTTACCCTGAGCATGATTTCATTATTGCTTTACGACCTTTCATACCTCTTGTCGTCCCAATTGCCCACTTATTTTACTCGTTTTAAAGCAAAGGTGGGCGTTAGGGGAGCTACAATTACTCTCACTTAAAACTAAGGGGTATTTATAGCCGTAGCTTTCCACTGTCCCTCCTTCTGTCCCTTGTATTCCTCCCTAGAAGAACAAAACGACCTGTCCCGTGGAGATGTGTTCTTTCGAAGATCAAAATTTCAGTGAGATTAGTATCAGCTGGGCTCACAACATTTACATTCGTTTGCTTCTTTCACAACAGGCATTTTACTTCTATCAGAAGGAGGGAGAGGAAAATGAGGTCATTAAAATCTAGAAAATAACAAAGTGTTAATAATTATTACAATTAAGGGGAGAAGCAGGTTTATTTTTCCCCAGGTGAAGCAGGTTTATTTCTCCCCAATATGCACAATGTCTTTGGTTTCTTAGTAAGCAGGCCAAACTGCTTTCCAGTGTTCCATCCAGCAACTTGAGAACTTTGAGCTTCACCTTTCACTTCCAGGAGTGCCAACTGGTTGCATCTCCACAAACTAGCTTGATAGATTTTAACTTTATCCCAGTCTTCCTAGATGCCAATTTTTAAATTTCCAGGGAAACGTGACAGAGTTTCCTGCTCTTTCTTCCAAAACAGGCTGACATAGAGCATAAATATTTTAACCATCAGCTCTCTTATAAAGTGCCTCTCCTCTCAACCAATGAGAAGTGTCCAATAGAACAATCAAAACAAGCTATCCTACAAGAAATACTAGATTAAACCATTGTTACCATAAGAAAGATGATGTAGTGATCCAGAGAGTGTAACTTTAATCTTTGCAAACTGTCCTGGAGACTGACTCTCCAGTTGAGGTGTCAAGATGAAATCTGGCACATTACACAGTCTGTGGAGATTAGAATGGATCAAAACATGTAGAATATAAAGGGATCTTGGGGCCCTACAGAGGGGTAGGGTAATGACAAGTGATAGCAAGAAGATCCAGAATTTCAACAAGAGTTCATGTAAATGCTAGTTACCAATTCAACACCCTTTTTTCCCTATCCACAGCAACCCATAGTTTTAGGATAACTAGGAATGACCTTAAAGGGTAACAGCTAACTTTTCTAGAGCACTTACTATGTGCCGGACATCACTGCATTACCCCTCATGGTTATTTTTCCATCTTGGATACTAGTGTTTTTAACTCCTTATAGCCATGGAGATGCTGTTTGCCTTCTGAATCTCTGTTTTCCTTTTTTCTTGATCATATTCATTTAAGGATATCTGCATAGCTTGAATGTCATGGTGATTGGAAAAGTCTTCTATTATGTTTTGCAAGATGGTCCCCAAAAGAAACATTAAATCTTGTAGAACACAGGTAGGTTTTAGAATTCTGAGATCAGCAATGGGATAACACCCAATCCAGAAAGGAAAGCAAAAGGGCCAAAGACTGTGGTGGGTAAAGAATAAGAAAATATGGCTCACTGGCTTATTTTTGGTGTATGTGAGTAAAGCCAGGACAAGCCCATCTGACTAGGTGTCTTTTTGCCCATTTGGGGGTGGAAGGTGGTAAAATTTTTCTTTGAATTATAGAAGGGAGCTATAATATGCTCTTCTACTTTTCAGTTGTAATAAATATCCAAGGAAAAATAAATTAGGGAAAGAGAGGAAAGGGCAATGTTTAAATGGTGTTTGGGGACATGTGGATTATTTAACCATAGGCAAAATTCCCTACCCTGTTTACATTACAGTGGGACTGGGGAGCAGACATTAAAGAATAAGTAAATAATATGGTATATTAGAAGGTGATATATTATGTGAAGAAAATAAGCAGAAAAGCAGGATTGCCAGGGCTGGGCGGGGAAGGGCAAAATGACTACAACAGAGATTTGTTGAACTAGAGAAGGCACTACTCTATCTGGGGGTGTGCTGGAGGCTTCAGATAGGTGCTGTCTTAAGATTGTGTAATTCACCAATTCCTTAAGTCCTACAGGTTTCCTCAAATCTTAGAGTAAATTAATCTTATATTCTCCCAGCCTTGTACTATTCACTCCCTCACCCCCTGCTTCAGAGACTGATTCTGCCAACTGAATATGTGGAGTTCAGGTTCTTCTCCACCCCGACTCTCTTCCAGAACAATGCTGTGGCTTCCTAAGTCACTTCCTTGCAGTCAACCTCACCTCTCTTCCTTCTGTCCTCCATTCTACCACCAGAGTGGTCTTTCTAAAATGCTCTTGTCTGCCTAGAGGATAAACTTCATACTCTTAACATGTACCCCAAACTCTCCATGACTTGGCTTCTTCCCCTTCTCAAGGTTTTGCCCTTTTCCTCAAACAAGTCTTAGTTTTCAGCTACAACAAATTAGTTTCTCTAACGTGCCCAAGTGTTTCATTGTTCTCTTGCACATTTTGTTTTTAGATTGAGATCTGCTGTTTGCCTTTTAAACTACCACTTGTCCTTCAAAATCCACCTCAAGTCATGCTTTTAATGAAGTTAGCTCTGCCCCTTCTTCTCCCATAGAATTAGTTGATCCCTCTTTCCTTTGTGTGACTACTGCTCCTCTATTATAACACTAATACCAGTGAACCCCATAAGCGCGCAGAAAACGTGTTTTACTCATCTTTGTATTCCCAGTACTTAGCCAGTGATTGGTACATAGAGTTTAATCATTGTTAGTGATTATGATTTGGGATGTATGGCATTTGGATGACTAAGGGGCATCCAGATGGAGAAATGTCCCGTCAGAGGAGAGCAGTGTTAGCTGCTCTTACTGGCTGAAAAGTAATAGCTGAAGCTCTGAATGAGAACTATGTAAGCACAGAAGAGAAAAGTAAGACAGGTGCTGAAGTAGGACGCCTCATCTAGGGAAGGGGCAGAGGAAAAGACCCAGAAAAAGGAGAGTGGGAAGAAGTTGCCAAGAGCTAAAGGATGGAGCCTGGCATATTAGGTGCCGTAAATAAAATAACACATCTATTTTTAGATGCCTTTATATGCCTAAAAACCAAGCACAATCCCGTCTAGAGATACGGTAACCAAGTTGGTCACCCTTTTCAGACTTTATGCGGTGTATGTCCATACTTCTAACCTAAAAGGCGTCATTTGGCTTTAACCTGCTTTTTTACACTTGATTATCTTGGGAAACATTTTCCAGTGAATATTCTCCTACATTTTAAGTGGCATTCCACAGTAGGACCTATTCGCATTTCTATACAATGCTTCCCAAAGTGAGACTGGGGAGAGGAAGAGCCTGTGAACCAAGGGCCAGGCGGCGCGTTGGGTGGGGGCAAGGCTGAGAAAGGGAGGCCAAGACCTCCAAGGGCGAAGGCGACGACCGGGGCCTGCGGGGCGCGGGGCGGCCGGCGGGGGCGCCGCGGAGCCGGAGGAAGGGGCGGCGCGGGGCGGGGCGGCGCCGAGCGGTTGCTCAGGGCGGGCATTTCAAACCGAAGGAGGGAAACGCGGCGGCCCCACGCGCACGGGGCGTGAGGGTTGCCATAGCCGGGCCTCCCTGGGGGCGAAGACGGGGCTCCTCCCGGGAGCACAGCCGCGGCGGCCTCTCTCCCCTCCCGCCGCCCCGACGGTGCGGCCGCGCCCTGATCTGCAGGTGGACGGGAGCGGGGCCCAGGTGGGTGCCGGCCCCGCGCCCGTTTAGCTTGCCAGGTGCCAGGACTGGAGGCACCCAGAAGCCGTTCACTTCAACGCGCGCCGCGCCCCGGGTGACGCCCACCCAGCACCCTCGGCCTCTCGGTGGGTTTCTGGGCCCTGGGTCCCGGCGGCCGAGCCAGCCTGGCCTTGGGAAGGTCCGGGGCGAGCGGGCCGCACGACGCCCTGGTGAGACCGTTAGCCACCCGCCCTCTGAGAGCACCGCGGCGGACGGAGTACATGACCGCGCCGCGTTGACCGAGCATCTTCTGAAACCCGAATTTGGGAAGTTTCCTCAGTTCCACGACTAGCGGGAGGAAATGAGAAATTAAAATTACTCTTGTCTGGAAAGCCCGAAGGAAATTCAAAATGATTTAGGCCTTTCCAAGTTGTAGAAATAATCCCCACTGCGTGTACCTGATGTTCCCTTGAAATTTTAGCATTGTGTTGCTGCCCGTTTTAATTGTTAAAACTAAAATTTTCTTTTTAAGTGGTTTTACTTTGGCATGAATTTTAAAGGCAAAGTGAGAGATTTTCTTGTTTGGAAGCCTACGTAACTTTGACGTCTAAGAGCTCAAGATCTACTTATGGTAAGATTTTCCACTTTAACCAATGGAGGAAATTAGGTTTTAATAGAGTTTAAGTCATTCTCTGATTTGACAAGTGCTTTTTTATTGAATTATAATTGACATACAATATTATATGAGTTTCAGGTGTGCAAATAGTGACTTGATATTTTTTAAAATTAGAAAATGATCACCCACATAGTTCTACTTACCACCTGTTACAATACATAATTATTACAAGATCATGGACTATATTCCAATACTTATTTTATGAGAGATAGTTTATATCTTAAAACCCTTCACCTATTTTGTCCATCCTTTATCCCCCTTTCCTTTGCCATTCACCACTTTTTTCCCCCATATTTAGAGTTTGTTTCTGTTTGGTCATTTGTTTTGTTCCTTAGATTCCACATATAAGTGAAATCATATGGTATTTGTCTTTCTCTGACTAATTCCATTTAGCATAGTACCCTCTAGGTCCATCCATGTTGTCATGAGTGGCAAGATTTCATACTTTTTATGGCTGAGAAATATTCCATTATATACATGTACTTTGTCTTCTTTATCCATTCATCTATTGATGGACACTTAGATTGCTTCCATATCTTAGTTATTGTAAATAATGCTGCAATGAACATAGAGGTACATGCATCTTTTCCAATCAGTGTTTTCATTTTCCTTAAATAAATACCCAGAAGTGGAATTGCTGCATCATGTGATAGTTCTATTTTTAATTTTTTGAGGGACCTCCCTACTGTTTTCTGTAGTGGCTGCACCAGTTTACATTCCCACCAATAGTACTTGAAGATTCCCTTTTCTCCACATCTTCATCTTTTTTTTTTTTAAGAGCACTATAAAGATAAGTGTTCTCAACCCTTTATCAGGAACCTGGTTTTCAAGGAGGCTTGTAGATTAATCAGTGAACTTTTGAATCAGTAAAATTATATATATGTATGGTCATTCCATGATATTGCATGAATAATTTTGAATAATTAAAAAATTAAGTTTCAAAGAATCGAGTTTGACCCCAATTTCTTGGGGTAGTAGATAAACATAATGACAGCAAGAAAGCATGCTGGGTCAGCTTTCTATGTGTAGATGAACAGAAGAAAATTAGCAACTTTTTTGTATGTTTATAACAAGTGGCCTGTTGTTTTTAGGGGATAGAGGACGGTATCTGCATCCCCACTTCTAACAATTTGCTTTTCCCAAAATATCGCATGATGAGACATCTAGTGGTGAAGTAGCAGAATAGTTATATTTGTTTTAACTTTAAAAAAGGCTGCCTTGACTTAATTTTACCAAATAACGGAGTGAAAACTGTTACTGAATAGAATGATTCTAAGAGAGGGAGAAACATTCATGGGTGGAGGTGTAATGTGAAAACTCATATCATATTAACTCAAATTTTGAAATCAAAAAAATGTTTTAAAATCTAATACAAATTATAGAAAGCGGAGTTTGATAATCTTGCTTGATAAACATGTACAGAAGACAGCAGTAATTCTCACAATCTGAAGGAATCTAGAAGAGAACATGTGTGATATTTACCAGGATGGAATATAGGTTTAAAGTTGGAAAAACAAGTAATAATGATCTTCTAATGATGATTATACCAGAGAGAAACTATTTCATTTTGTAGACTAGGAATTTATTTTTTTAAAGAGCTTATTTATGCATATATTTAACTGATATAACTTGTGTGTAAATATACTACTTTATATAGTCAATTAAAATATATCATCATGGGATCTTTTAATAGAGAAGAATTGTGCATTTAGTCTGGAGAAAACTTTGAAACAATGACAGTTTTCTTATCCTTTGAATAATCTGGAGAAATGTCAGAAATTACAGTAACTTTCTTCTCTCATATTTCTTTAAGTATTAAGTTTCTAAAAAGAAGGAATGTGATGATACTGTTAAAAAGGTTAAGAAGTAAAGTCTTTCCTGTCATTCCTTACAAATACAGTTGCTGAGAAATATTTCATCTTTATGTAATTGAATTCTCTTTTTGCAATTCCAAGAATTTTATAAAGGGTGAGTTTCCCACAAACAGTTGCCTATATCTGTGGATTCAAGCCTCTAACCGGACCTTATGTCTCAAAATATTAGATGACACATGAATGAGTATAACATGCCAAACGGGAAATGGCACTATATCTGTGGTTCATTTTGGTTAGTTCAAGAAGAATACATTAGTAATTAATCATTGAGCCAAAGAGTCTTTGCAAAGGTATAAGTTTGGGAATCTGGACCTTTTGAATGGTCATGGGGATTGGATTTCTGAGACATACCTATGTTACAAAGTGTGAATACATGATCGTGGAGTTGCTTAGCCATTGCAGTTAAATCTAGTACAGCACTCATTGACACTCATTTGCAAAGACACGTTTAAAAATTAGTATATATATTTTTTAAGCAGGTTTTTTTAATACCCCAGAACTTTGCAGGGAGATACCCAACTGACTAGATGTAGGCTACCACAAATAAGCTAAAATATTAAAACTAAAATTATCTATTTTAGGTGCTGTTAAAAATCATAAAGTAATAAAATCATCTTAAAGTGATACTGCCAAATTTTTTTCTCAAGTGTACTGTAAAAATATTTGTGCATGGTACTTAGAGTATGCTTGGCCAAATAATCTGTGAATATTTATAACCTGAAAGTTTTGGCTTTTATGATGTCAAAGTTGTTTTAAGTAAGATACATATGAGTAGATACTCATTAAACTTGTGCTTAAATAAGATATATAATATATGAGTATTTATTAGATTTGTTTTTTTACTGCCATAAAATTCTCCATTATTATTACTTGTATTCATAACAAATAATGTATTTTGGTGTAAGCTTCCAGGCTACTCATTTCAAAAGGAGAATAAACTCTGTTTTCACTTTGTAGAAACAGAGATTTTGAAGATGTCAGAAAGACATTCAGGTCAAGGTCACTCTGGAGCAGGAAATGAGGTGGACTCTCCTACTATCAGTTTCAAGTACTCCAGCTTCAGAGGTTTTTGTTCCACATCGTCATTTCAAGATAGTGGCTACAGTGAGACGTTAAAATCTTGCAGCTTTGATAATACAGATAAAGAATTTTTTGGAAAGAAAGAAAAAGACCCCACATTAATCCATGAGAATCCTGAACCCTCAAGTCTGGGCTTAATACATCCTGTAGTGTCTCCCACTCAAGAAAAGAGGATTGTCTTCCCCAAAAAGGAAAAAGATAAAACCCCAGAACTTTGTGAAACTCCTAAAGTCACTGGAAAAAAGTTTTTACTGCGCAGAAGGTTGGACATATCTTTCTCTCTTCTAAAGGGGGATCTTGAATCACAAAAGAGTTCTCTAGAAAATAATAAAAGCCAAGTTCTCAACTTACAAAAAAATATTCCAAGTGGTGCCTCATGTTTTCCAAGACAAAATAATTTTAGTCCTTTAGTTTCTAGTACTTTGAAAACAGAAGAATCAACTTCCAGTAGTCAAAAATTTAGACTCAATTTTTCTCAACAAAAGGCTTCCACAATTGATGATTCCAAAGATGACTGCAGCCTGTTTGAGGTTGAATGCATATCCCCAATTCAGGGGGATAGTTTTAAAGACTCTATCACATTTGATCTCACTGACAGCAGTCTGTGTGTTAACGATGAGAATATGTATCCTGAACTTCTGCGCTCCTCTGTTAGTGGAACAACATGTGAAACAGATGAGGACATATTTGTGACCCCAGTAAGTAATCTTGTGGCAAACATTAAATTTAAAGCAAGTCAAAGGTTTTCTCCTTCAATTGAAGTGAGAGGTTGTATTTCAACACCTGAAGACAGTGGTTTTAACTCACTTTGCTTGGATAAATCAGAAGAGTCCTCATCTGACCAGGAGGGTTCTTTTCAAGAACTACAGAAACACAAAGGAACTCTCAAAGTGGGGGACAAAAAGTCAAGGCGTCTTGGAAGGTTGAGAAGACTGTCTACCCTTCGGGAGCAAGGCTCACAATCTGAGACAGAAGAGGAAAAGCAGATCCACTCTGGTTCTGAAACAACACCAGCAGCTGCTTCAGACATTTCAGAGAGTCAGCCAAGCAGTGATGATAAGAGTGGGAACTTGATTTTAAGCTTTGAAAATTTATCAAAGACCCCAGCCTTGCAATTAATGCATGAGCTCTTTTTGAAGAACAAAAGGAAAAGATTCCAGCAAAATGCGTCACGTGAATTCTCAGAAGAAAGGGATGGGGGGAAAATAGCTGTACTACAGTATGTACTTGCAGGACTGATTGGTAAGAAAATGGGTCTAGAAAAATTGGACATCTTAACAGAATTAAAATACAGAAATTTAAGGCATGTTCTTGCTATGGTTTTAGATTCCTTGACTGCAGAAAGCCTATGCAGGTAAGAAATAATCTTTTTCCTAAATAAAACTGCCTTTTATCACTTTTTTTAGTTGGAAAACTTTTCCATGAGTTGAATAATCATCCTGTTTTTTTTTATTATTATCTCTGTCTTTGGTTGTCTAACACTTCATCAAGGGTAGTTTAGTGAACTTCAATAGAGCTTACTAGCTTAGTTCCTTCTATTTAAAAGCTTGCTTTAGAAACAACAATATAGTCTTCTGGATGAAGTCATGTCACTGTCATTTGGGAAGAGAGTTTCTATAAGTTGAATTTTAAATTCTCAAGATGGCAAGCTTTATTACACAAAAATTGTATGAAAGCACTTGGTCATAAATAATGTAAAGCATTATGTTGACTAATAAATGACAACATATGAAAGATACCATTTAGTTATTTAAATTCTAGAGTCCAAGAACAATAGTTAGCTTTCATTTTAGGTTTGGTCTTTCCAGAGACCAAGGGAATATGGATTATTTCATTTTTATTATTAACACAACAATGGAAGTTACTTTTGGGAATTTCAGGGAATTAGAAACTGAAGAATTTGTGTGAATAGAGATTTCAGTATTTTGAGTGCTGCTACATAATCAAAGAGACACTAAGTCAGACATTTAGGAGTTTCAAAGGTGGAAAGTAGGGTTTCAAAGACAAAAGTGAGACTGTGTTTATACTGGCAATTCTGGGGGAGTTACTGGACTTACGGAAGACAAGACCCTTGGGAATGCCGTGACCAGGAACGAGGGGAGCCATGTGGAAAAGGATTTCTGCAAGGTGATGGCTGGTGGAGGACATGCAGGAGAGTTAGTGAACCTCTTCTTCCACAGGGATATGTCAAGAGTTTGGTTCATAGAGTCTTTGCTGTTTTATGGCCATTACGTCTATTAAAGCTCTTCTTCAACTTTCTCAGATAAATTACTTATATGCTATTGTAGAGAATTGTTGAATCTCATATCTGAAAGTCTTCTGAGATATCTAGTCTAGTCACGTATTTTCAGTGAGGAAACTAAACTCGCAGAGAAGTTAAGTGACCTGCCAACAGTCACTCAAGGAGATAGGTAGGAATAAATTCAGGTGTACAGTGAGCCCTCTGATTTCTAATCCAGTATTTTCCAAAAACTCTTATTAAGCCTTAAAGCCTTTCCAAATAGGCTTGATTGGGAATGTATTTGATGTGACCCAAATAGGACAATAATTGTCCTATTTGGGCATGTACCTTTAAGAAATGTTCAAATGTATGTATATGTATGTACCTTTAAGAAATGTTCAAATGAGGTAGATTGTTTTAAAAATTAAGGAGATGGCTGAGATATAGGAATTTTATTTTTGTATGCTGGAGTATTTGGATACAGACCAGTTAAAATAAAAACTTTGGTAATACTTTTGGGTGCTCGCCTGTGGGAACAGTTCATCTTCAGTCATCTTTCAATAATTACCTCTTCTACCCAGCCCTCCAAATTATATTTGTACTGGAGAATGCATGTGTAAGGTTGACAGTGTTTATTCTTGGTAATGTGAGAGATTGGGATCAGTTGATATAGCTGTGGCAAACACCCATTTATATAATTCATTTCTTCCCCATTAATGGGTGACTTTCTCCATCAATCTCATTAAAGACACACGTCTTGTCTTAGGGAGAGGCAGTAGCAACTGAAGTAGCCGTGGGGGCTGGAAGAATCAGTATTACCTGGGGCCCTTCATAGGTGACTTTTTTTCCCGCCCAACTGTTCTTACTCCCTTTGAGTGATAAGTTAGAGTAACAAAAAAAGACTAGATTAACAGTTGAAGGATGACTTTTTCTTTGTCAAAGTTATTGGTAAATAAGCAATCACTGTACATTTTTCTTTAACTGCTTCATTCTCATAAACTTAGGCTTATAAAATAGGAACTTTGTAGCCCTACCCGTAATATTTATTATTTAGCACTTAGTACTTCCAGTGAAGGACTGATGGTTCTTATGTTTGTTTAATCAAAGTGACAGATTTGTTAAGTACATTAATAGGGGAAATTGATAGAAACCTTTTGTGCTATAGATGATAATTATTTGCTGTATGTCAGTTCCAAATTTTTAATTTTAGTGACATATTTGAAGTTAAATTCTCTTAACTAGTTTCCCAATGGACTCAAATTGGCTTAATAATGAAACTCTTTTTTTCCTTTAACCATGTAAAAATAATAATCTATTAATATAATGCTGGCATATGTTTAGTATTTTAATAAGAATTCTTTAATGTGGTGAAATGATGTGAAACAACGATGTATATCTTGTAAGCCATTTTAATGTAAATTTTAAGTTTGAATTTATTTTCCAAAACTCTGTAAAACAAGTTTTTCCTATTACTTGCCGTATGCGAAAAATGTTAAGCTTGTGCAACATATGCAACATAAGGACTGATCTTTTTGTTATAGTGTTTGGAAAGTGAGCAAAAATTGGCGTGAAATTATTGTTCAAGATAAAAAAGCAAATCAGAGGAGGAAATTTTACATTGCACAACTGAAAACAGAATCTGAGGTAATGTTTATAATAGTTTCTAAAATGGATTTGTATTGATATCTAATAATCCCATATTGTTGGGCAACCTAATTTGGTTTTCCTTCTATCTTTAATCTTTCCCATTTAGCATTTACTCACACACTCTTTATTTTTCCCAAAGTCCATCTGTATCCAGTCAGTAAGTAGAGTATAATAGAGCATCAAGATGATCTTGTTAGGTTTTGTCGTCATTTAAGTAGATGTGCTGTTAGCAATATTTGAATAACAATGATATGCTGGATTGTAGTCATCACTAGATATCTTTATATATAATTTTCTGTCCAGTCTTTGCATGGATATTACATGCCAGTTGCGCAGATTACGATGGTGAACATTTCTGAACATGGTCCCTGCTTTCTTGGAGCTCATACCCTGTTGGTGATGCAGGTAAATAGGTGATTACAATGCACGTGTGTTAGGGGACACTCAGAATTAGTTTGCTCCTGGCTACTTACTGCAGCTGCTGGCCCTGGGAGCTTAAAATAGTAAAGATACTGCCTTCCTAACTTCTTTTTCAGAATTCTGCCCTACAGGCTGAGGACAGACTTAAAAAACACGTTTTAACCAACCACCTATTAATATTAAACTTCAGTTTAGCTCCACACACTCCTTATATCCTGTAAGGAAGAAACATGTGGTTGTGTTTAACAACAACACTTCAGGTAGTTCTAGATAAAATATTCTGCTTTCATTTCCTGGCCACAACTTTTTTTTTTGAACTTGGTTTCTAAAGGACTATAGTTGTTTTCCTTCTTTGAACTGTTTTCTTATTTTGGTTTGTTTTAAATTTTTTTTTTCCTAAGTAAAACAAGTACATGCTTACAAAAGTAAAATTGGACTATGAGGCTTGTAGTAAACACACATTTTCCTGCCCTATCCCTGCCTAATCTGATTCATGCCTCATCAAGGCAATCACCCTCCACTCCTTAGTTGTTCCTTCTGATATTTAGTTCCATGTTTCTAAATAGCATGCCTTTACTACTCTTTATTTACTTTTTTTCCTCAAGAGATATTAAGTTTGTTCTCTAGCCTCTCACCACTATTACCAGGACCTGTCTACCTACTTGTCTCTCTGAATTCCTTTTTTATGAATATAACCACATCATCATTTGGGAATGAGCAGAATAGGTGCTGACTTATTAAGACTATGTTGAGAAGACTATGACTTTCTGACAGCTGTAACATGTAGTACACTATGATTATACTTTTTTTCTGAAATAACTTTTTTTTCCAGAGTTAATAATTGCCCAGTTTCTTTCTCTTTTTTGCTTAGTGTTTCTCTATACAGATCCCTGATTCATCTCCTATTATCTACCAGAACTGGAAATCTCCTCTGTGTAAGTCCAAGCAACTCAGGTATTCTACCAGTTACTTCTTTTCCTCAGAGACATCTTCCTAGTGCCCTTTGCCCTCCTATTCTGACATGGACTTACTGCTTTCTGCCTGACTATCCTAATGTATATCATTAACCAAAAGAGAAAATTATGAAACAAAGTCATTTGATGGTTTTCCTCCCCTTTGTATAACCCCACTGAAAGCCACTTACATGTGAAAATTCGAAGGCACACACCAGCTGTGTGTACTAGGATTTCAGTTTTATCTGTTCGCTTTGCAGCAATGAGAATGAGCATTAGAATTGGGATACTACACCTTTTCCACTGAATTTCTCGATTTATTACATTCTTCACTTTTCTAATAATCATGGAAATAAACAACCATCTAGTGACTCTACCCTCCTCACATTGAAATACTATCTGGTATAACATAATGATGACTAGGTTTGAAAATTGTTGGCGTTAACAAACATGTACCTCTGTTTACTGTTTTGCCTCTTATTGTTCAGAGGTAGTAGCACACATTTTATGCTCCAGGCAGACAGGGATAAGACCGTTTCATTCACTTGGCACTTTTAGGTGTTCTGCAAATATTTGTTAAATGAATGAATGTTTCTTCTGTGGCTGAAATTTGCTTCAACAACATATCTGTATTCATTTTTTTGGTGGATGCATAATCTGTCTGTAACTGACTGCATCAAAATTCATCGAAATTTTAGTGTGCGCTTTTGTCATGTGCTTGTGGCCTAGGCTGCAAATCATGTAATATAAAAGATGTACTGAGTCCTTGAAAAAGTTCAACTCTATTTATTCTTGCTTCTGAATACATTGAGAATTTTAATTTCTGAATACATCCGCTACAATGGTGAAATGATGTGAAACAACGATGTATATCTTGTAAGCCATTTTAATGTAAATTTTAAGTTTGAATTTATTTTCCAAAACTCTGTAAAACAAGTTTTTCCTATTACTTGCCGTATGCGAAAAATGTTAAGCTTGTGCAACATATGCAACATAAGGACTGATCTTTTTGTTATAGTGTTTGGAAAGTGAGCAAAAATTGGCGTGAAATTATTGTTCAAGATAAAAAAGCAAATCAGAGGAGGAAATTTTACATTGCACAACTGAAAACAGAATCTGAGGTAATGTTTATAATAGTTTCTAAAATGGATTTGTATTGATATCTAATAATCCCATATTGTTGGGCAACCTAATTTGGTTTTCCTTCTATCTTTAATCTTTCCCATTTAGCATTTACTCACACACTCTTTATTTTTCCCAAAGTCCATCTGTATCCAGTCAGTAAGTAGAGTATAATAGAGCATCAAGATGATCTTGTTAGGTTTTGTCGTCATTTAAGTAGATGTGCTGTTAGCAATATTTGAATAACAATGATATGCTGGATTGTAGTCATCACTAGATATCTTTATATATAATTTTCTGTCCAGTCTTTGCATGGATATTACATGCCAGTTGCGCAGATTACGATGGTGAACATTTCTGAACATGGTCCCTGCTTTCTTGGAGCTCATACCCTGTTGGTGATGCAGGTAAATAGGTGATTACAATGCACGTGTGTTAGGGGACACTCAGAATTAGTTTGCTCCTGGCTACTTACTGCAGCTGCTGGCCCTGGGAGCTTAAAATAGTAAAGATACTGCCTTCCTAACTTCTTTTTCAGAATTCTGCCCTACAGGCTGAGGACAGACTTAAAAAACACGTTTTAACCAACCACCTATTAATATTAAACTTCAGTTTAGCTCCACACACTCCTTATATCCTGTAAGGAAGAAACATGTGGTTGTGTTTAACAACAACACTTCAGGTAGTTCTAGATAAAATATTCTGCTTTCATTTCCTGGCCACAACTTTTTTTTTTGAACTTGGTTTCTAAAGGACTATAGTTGTTTTCCTTCTTTGAACTGTTTTCTTATTTTGGTTTGTTTAAAATTTTTTTTTTCCTAAGTAAAACAAGTACATGCTTACAAAAGTAAAATTGGACTATGAGGCTTGTAGTAAACACACATTTTCCTGCCCTATCCCTGCCTAATCTGATTCATGCCTCATCAAGGCAATCACCCTCCACTCCTTAGTTGTTCCTTCTGATATTTAGTTCCATGTTTCTAAATAGCATGCCTTTACTACTCTTTATTGACTTTTTTTCCTCAAGAGATATTAAGTTTGTTCTCTAGCCTCTCACCACTATTACCAGGACCTGTCTACCTACTTGTCTCTCTGAATTCCTTTTTTATGAATATAACCACATCATCATTTGGGAATGAGCAGAATAGGTGCTGACTTATTAAGACTATGTTGAGAAGACTATGACTTTCTGACAGCTGTAACATGTAGTACACTATGATTATACTTTTTTTCTGAAATAACTTTTTTTTCCAGAGTTAATAATTGCCCAGTTTCTTTCTCTTTTTTGCTTAGTGTTTCTCTATACAGATCCCTGATTCATCTCCTATTATCTACCAGAACTGGAAATCTCCTCTGTGTAAGTCCAAGCAACTCAGGTATTCTACCAGTTACTTCTTTTCCTCAGAGACATCTTCCTAGTGCCCTTTGCCCTCCTATTCTGACATGGACTTACTGCTTTCTGCCTGACTATCCTAATGTATATCATTAACCAAAAGAGAAAATTATGAAACAAAGTCATTTGATGGTTTTCCTCCCCTTTGTATAACCCCACTGAAAGCCACTTACATGTGAAAATTCGAAGGCACACACCAGCTGTGTGTACTAGGATTTCAGTTTTATCTGTTCGCTTTGCAGCAATGAGAATGAGCATTAGAATTGGGATACTACACCTTTTCCACTGAATTTCTCGATTTATTACATTCTTCACTTTTCTAATAATCATGGAAATAAACAACCATCTAGTGACTCTACCCTCCTCACATTGAAATACTATCTGGTATAACATAATGATGACTAGGTTTGAAAATTGTTGGCGTTAACAAACATGTACCTCTGTTTACTGTTTTGCCTCTTATTGTTCAGAGGTAGTAGCACACATTTTATGCTCCAGGCAGACAGGGATAAGACCGTTTCATTCACTTGGCACTTTTAGGTGTTCTGCAAATATTTGTTAAATGAATGAATGTTTCTTCTGTGGCTGAAATTTGCTTCAACAACATATCTGTATTCATTTTTTTGGTGGATGCATAATCTGTCTGTAACTGACTGCATCAAAATTCATCGAAATTTTAGTGTGCGCTTTTGTCATGTGCTTGTGGCCTAGGCTGCAAATCATGTAATATAAAAGATGTACTGAGTCCTTGAAAAAGTTCAACTCTATTTATTCTTGCTTCTGAATACATTGAGAATTTTAATTTCTGAATACATCCGCTACACTTATGCATATGTTGTTAAAATGTTAATCTTAGAATTTTTCATGACCAACTAACATTATTTCCTGTCCTTATCCTACTGTAATTTCTTATGTTTTAACTCTCTCCACTGTTAGGAGCAAATTATGGCAAAGAGAGACTATCAAGGGAGAGAAAAATAGAGACACATGAGGAAATTACCCTTAGTACATTTTATTTTGATGATTGATTAAGAGTGCCAACTAGTTAAAAAAAAAAAGAAAGAACACTGTATTTTTCTATTACTAACCTAACAGAAGGCTCTAAGAATTACTTATTGAAAATATTTTTTTGGCTGGATAGTTGAGTAATGTGGAAATCTAGTTCAGATAAGAGATACTTTTTTTCTCCTTTTAAAATATCAGAGCTATTTAAAACATAAGTGTAAAAATGAATCAAGTATTTACAAGTATTGCAAAAAACAACCAAACAAGTTGGATTTCCTGGTCTAACCAGGCCCATTTTTCTTCGGACATGTGGCTAAGGTAAGAAACCCTCAAAGAATTCCATGATATCCCGTAGCAAACTTTAGGAAGATTCACCTCTTCTTAGATTTTGGGTTAAAACAGGGGTTGTCAAACTCTTGTCTGTGGGCCCAGTCTGGTCTACCACCTATGTTTTTAAAGTAAGTTTCATGGGAATGCAGTCCTGCTCTTCAATTTACGTATCTTTACAGCTGCTTTTGACAGTTTAGCAGCTGTGATCATCTGGCCTACACAGTGTAAAATATATACTATCTGGTCCTTTTCACGAAAAGTTTGCTGACCCCACAGCTTACACAAAAAAATAATTAATCATGGAAACTTAAAGCTAGCATTTATTATTTTAATTTTTTTATATTTCTTTGACTTTTAAATGTTAGATGACATGATTTTTTTTCTAAAATGGAATACTTTAGGGAGAAAATTCTAGTGAGTGTGAAATCACTGCTGAGCATTTAAATATATGTACATCAGAGAGCTGTCCTGGAACTTCTGATATTATAGTATTGACCCCTCTTATCTTTTGCCACAGGGGACTATATTAAATGTTGAGGATGCTGCCACTCGGCTCCATCTTTTAAATCGATCAGCCTTAAGATCTGTACAAGCTCAGGCTAGAACACCAGGTTTTCAGAAAGAACAAGTTTCAACATTTTCTCCTTGGGGAGAAGTTTTGACACCTATAGCAAGCTCTTCTGTTACTCACTTACATAGTAAACAGGAAGAATATGTTAAGGTGAGTATTTACCATAAGTTATTAGAAATAAATATTTATGGACTTTGAAATAAAGCAATTCTCTATATGATACTGGAAGATTTAGTGTGTATGCTTTCACTGCAGGTTGCCAAAACACTTTTTATTGATGAAGCTTTAAAACCTTGCCCAAGGTGCCAATCCCCTGCTAAGTACCAGCCATATAAGAAAAGGGGACTTTGTAGCCGCACAGCCTGTGGTTTTGACTTTTGTGTGTTATGTTTATGTGCTTATCATGGGTCTGAAGAATGTAGTAGAGGAGCAGCAAAGCCAAGGAATAGAAAAGATGCTCTTCCAGGAAGTGCCAGGAGTAAGCAGAATTTAAAACGCCTCTAAAGAGACTTTAAGTATAAAAGAAGCATTCCCTCTAAGTAACATTTTTTTGTCTGACTTAAAATTATGAATATTTTGAAAGCATGCAGATTTTCCCATTAATGACAGATGATGATTTATTTCCTATTTTGTAAATATAATCCATGTCATTGTATGTTTTCTTTAAAGTGGTGAGTTTTGAAAATATTTTACTATGTCATTTTTACCCATTTTAATAACTTAGTGTTTTTAAATAAAGAATTTTCAATGTTTTATATATATATGTATTTAACTGTTTCATGTAACATTTAAAAATTGTGCATTTCATCACTATGTGTTGAAATGTTCTTTCAGTCACTTTTTAAAAAGTTTCCAAATAATATTGAAATTTTGAATTTGGGTCAGATGGCCTTATAAATTCAGAAAATGAGTATTTGACTGAAATGAAATACAAATAAAATGTTTTCAGAAGTTCTATTGAATTCTATAATTTCAATCTTTCTTTAGGTTAGTGAGTGTCATATTTGGGCAGATTTCTGGTTAAATGAAATTACTTAATATTGATAACTAAGAAGCATAAAAAGTAAATTATTAGATAGATGTGGTTATTCACAATGGAGTCTTAGTTAATAAATGCTTATAAGTCACACATTTCATATAAATACTTTTTAAAATTCCAGAACTAGAGTCAAAGATTTTGTTTCTTTAATCCTGCCTGGTATCAGTATTGTGATAAATTTGGGCTGGTTGGAAAAGATTGGTTTTTTAATAAGAAAATTTACTAAAGTATTTATAATGTACCTCCTTCCAAAAATGATTTGAGGTGATGTGTTTTATAGAACAGCAGCAAGAAAGAGATGAGTTCTATTGTTGAACAAATTACTAAACCAGGGGAAAATTTGAAGATAGTTTTACAATTTCTTTGTCTGTGTTTAGGTAACTGATGTGTGTATATGGCTAAATACACACTATACACTTAGATTTTAAAATTTAGCTCTTTTAATACATTATTTTAATAAGATAATTTAAAGTGTGAATTAGATATAGATGTTTTTGGAAAAATCTGCCCTAAATTTTAATTTGTCATTTAACTCACTAAAAATTTTTGATTAACTGCTAAATATTAAATTTTACCTATATCTTTCTAATCACACAAAGAATTTTTGTAGGCTAAATATAAATATGAGTAAATTGTTAGTTGTGTTTAGTAAGTTACACAGTCCATACATTTTATATCACATTTTCTGATTTGATTCTAACCAAGTTTAGTTCTCAATATTTAATTTCCTGGGTTATCTTCTACATCAGGATCAATATACTTATTAATGTTGTATAGTTAAGGCTTAACTTTTTTTCTCCATCTGAGAAGTTTCCTTGTTTTAGGATATTTATTTCCAGTCTTGATTCTCTTAATTTATGAAGTCAACTCTTTGATTTAATCTGAACTACTTTGGTCTCTCTTTCTGTGACTCAGGTCACATCATATCTTCTTCTATCATATAAACACTTGCTATTTTATATTCTTGATTTCTGCCTGGCCTAAATGACATTCTCGAAGTGACATTTTAGGTCTTAAAAAAATCACAGATCAAACTCCATAATAGTTTTTTTTAATGAAATGCAAGATTATCTATTCTATATAATTTTAGATGTTCACATATCCCAATATCTTAAGAGTTTTTATTATTTTATTACAGAATAATGGAAAAGGAAAATTAAGCATTTCTTTTATGTCTTTTCACATGAAATTGTCAGTAGTGCAATGTAGGAATCTGGAATCCTGTTCCCAATTCATTATGAGGCACTTTGTTACTGTCTTATGTATTGCAGTCCACCACCCTCTCGGTGTGATCACATATGTCATCTTGTAGCATATAATGTTTTAGTTCATTCTGATGGTGAAAAAGCAAATTTTACTACATTAATTTTTGAAGTCAGAAATCTGCATGTATTCTTCTTTACTACAGGTTCTGTTAACAATGGTAGTTCAAATTTTTTTTTCTGGTTTTAACTCGAATTCGAGTATTATGATCAAGTAGTTATGAGTAAAATAGGATAAGGACTTAATGCCACATATTTTAATAATTTTTAATAAAACTTTTAATAAAAAAGATCAGTAGGAATTCAAAAGGTAAGCTTGTTAGTAGGTTTTGTATTTATGATGGGTTTAGGTGTAGAACAACTGAAAGAAAGTCATACAGTATTCATGAACAACTTTATTAAAGGCTCTAGCTATCCGGAAAATAATCATTATCTTAATTATTGTAAATTATTATGTATTACAGTAACTGACTGGAACACTTCCCCTAACTGTAGGCTCATATAAGTGACTATATTCCTTATGCTGTACTTTCCATCCCCAACTCATTTATTTATAACTGCAAGTTTATACCTCTTTCATCCCCTTCACGTATTTTGCCCATCCCTTCAGCCCCCTACTCTATGGCAACCATCAGTTTGTCTTCTGTATTTATGAGTCTATATCTATTTAGTTCACTTTATTTAAATTACTTGTTTAGTTTTTCCCCCCCATGAAACTATAAGCTCTATCAAGGCCTGGACTATATCATGTTTGATTTGAATACCATTGTATCTGCAGTACATAGCCTAGTACCAGGCAAGTAAAGAGTGGTCAATAAATATTTATTAAATGAGTAGATTTTTTTAGTGCTACTAGTAATTTTTATCCAAGTAAACCACTAAAATTCTAACAACTTGCTAATTTATTAGTGTTTGATTTCAGTGATTAGTGCTTCATTACACAAAAAGTGGGGTCTAAATGATTCCTTTTTTTTCCTTTTTAAAAAATGATTGCTTAAATTGCCTCCAACATGTAATCAGTGGATTTGTGTGGTTTACTCATTCTTTTAATCTAATTCTTCCTACATATAGGTAAAGTGTAATGGAAAGAGTGCTAAGCTAGTAGTCAAAAAGCCGGCACTGGTATCCTGATTTATTTACTACTTATGCCCCTACAAGTCACTTAGTGATTCTGAGCCTATTTCTTTTATCAATAAGAGAAATTAAAAGAGGTGATGTATTGTAAAATACTCTTGAAACTCTTAAAGGTTACACTAATTTCTGTTACTACACACTTGGTTAAATGTAAATAGAATAAAGTGAAATAGCACTTGTGGGCATAGCATATATGCAAAATGAAACTATAAAGTCAACCTTTACCTTGCTTGTAAAAAATGTCTGGTTGAAAAAAGAGTTTAGCCATCATAAATTGAGCACTTACTATATATCTTCGTTGTTCTAAGTCCTTTACATGTGTTAATTAATTTATTCCTTACAGTGACACTATAAGGCAATTATTATTTTATATGTCCAGAAACCAAGAATCAGGTTAAATAATTGAGGATCACACAGACAACACGTTAGGGGAGCCAGGATTCTAGCAGGGGTAGTCTGCCATTTGTACATGACAAAACTTTGCAGAGCTCCTGTTGTTAAGTTGAATATGCATATAATTAATTACCATGTCATAAATGAGAGATTGTTTTGTCATTTAAGAAAAATCTATTGGTATACAAGGAAAAAAATAATTCTAATTTAGAACAATTCTGCCTCGTTACAACCTTCTTTAGCTCAAGAGTGGCTTAAACTTATCATTTGAAAAACTAAACGAATTGCATAAATGTACTATTACCTGAGAGGCTAGTTAATACAAAGGCCACTACTCCAGTTCCAAGGTCTTTGTAATTTAAAGACTTCAAGGCATGAAAACAAGAAAATTACCACATTCTAGCAATTACTAATTACATTCTTAACAGGTTTTGATTATTGGTGAGAAAAAGTCATAAGAAGAAGTTCACCAGACATGTACTGATGGGTCTACTCTGTTTCCAAGAAGATTCCAAAACAAGAGGGATGATTAAATATGGCATTTTATTTTTTTATTGATTCATTCTTAATAAGGATATAAGGACAAGAATGAGTGTTAATTCTAGGGAAGACCAATAAATGCTTTACCTTGTATTGCTTTAGGATAAGAACCTCTATCTTTTCTTCCTATGGTCTGCCCCCTTGACAGCCTTGCTAGCTAATAAGCAGGAATATTCTTTGTATTTGACTTATACTTGTTTCTAGAATGGACAGCTATTTCCTATTTCTGACTCCCTAGTTTGGAAAGAAATGGTCAGAAACTTATGATAAGTAATATGAAGAGAACACTTTAAGAGTTATCTGATCATTTTATAGTAGCATTTTTATGAGCACAATTATGGATATTTAAATTTATTCTTAATAAAATTTAAGTACTTAATAAAGTCTTCTTAAGGATTTCTCGCCAATAATTTAAGGATGTAAGTGCTGTTGAGAAAATACCTTTGATACTTACCACTGTGTAAAGCTAACTTTTTCCATTACCTTTGCTTAACTTATGACACAAAGTTCAAAAGTTGTAAATTTATGACACAAAAATTTACTGAACATTTTCAACATTTGATCTCTTTAAGTTCCTTGTTTGCTTTATTAAGCAGTGTTTGCATTTATTAAATAAAAATGGCTTTATTTTAAACTGTCTCTCTTAAAAATAGTGTAACATATAGAAAATGCTTTTAAAAAAATGTCTTCACACATGGAAATACCTATTATTGTTTCTGTGTGGAGGAGGGCAAATATTTCAAAGTTCACATTAAACATTCCACAAGGAGGCACCAAAGACTCATTTATGGTGATTTTGGCTATCCTTAAAAAACATAAATTTAGCTTTTATATATTTGACATTGATGTACTGTGACATTGCCAGATAGGGGAAATGTTCTTTGACTTAATTTTTAAAATGTATATAGAACACATTTCAATAATAGTTATTACTCAGAATTGCTTATGAAAATATTTTAGCTGGCTTGCAAGAGTGCACTGTTTTCTGGCATGACTTTTAACAGAACACCTTGTTGGTGGCCAGGTCTTTGCCTTGGCCATCTGTGTTTACTTGCCCAACGGCTCTCCCTCCTGGCTCCCTCATCATGGACTGAGGAGCCAAAAGAGTGGAAGGAGCAGTAGAAATGTAGAGGTGAGGGCTGGTTATGAATGGCGGTGGCATGCTGCCAATTATTTCCCTCTGGCATTCTCATTTCTGCAGAAAGGTGGTGGTTGGTCCTAATTACATCCTGCCTAGATCCTGAAAATGTCTCCTAACAGGTCTCATTGCTTTTACTTTTTCCTCATCTGAATCTGTCCTAAGTATCCATTATCAGGTATTTTGAACTAAAAT